CTCCAGGTTTTCCTCAAATAGGGGGTTTGGCGGTCGTTGGAGAGAGAAGCGGCTGCCAAGTACGGCCCCGAAGGGGCCGAGTCGTTATGTTTTGATGTCGTCATCAAAGCCCTTCGTTCCAAAAAATTTACTGCTCGCCAGAAAGGAACTATCCGTTGTTGTGCCTGTCAAGGAATTTGGCCCTACGCCCGTGCACGAGCTGCAGGTTGCGAAGTGGACGATCGTTGCCCACTCTGCCATCAGCCTGGTGGCGCGATTTTTCATCGGCTTTATGCATGTTCGGCGGTGGAGGAGGAGCGGAGGGAGCTGATTCCTCGCAGTACTCTGGAGCAGGTATTGAGTCGGTTCGAAGCGGTTTCGGAGAGAGAACGGTTCCACCTCACCTCTGGTTTGTTTGGACACCCCCAGAGTGTGCTTCCGCCCCCTAAGTCCGACAGTAGATCCGAGGAGGATGATGGTATCCAGTTTCAGTTTTTTCCTGAAGGCTTCGCGGCCGAAGGCATGGAGATGCCCCGCGACGGCCGACGCCAGATGTGGGGCCACGTCTTCCTTGATGGCTCGTGTTCTCGACGGGTGGTCCGCAGCTCGAACAGAGCTGGTTGGGGTTTAGCGATGATGGGCCCCCGTGCAAATCTTCTAGCTTGGAGCTGGGGCCCCGTGTGGGACAGTTGCCCCCAGACTCCCCAGGCTGGTGAATTTTCGGCTTATGCCATGGCGTGCGCTTTCTTGTCTGCACCTGCTATTCTGCATTCAGATTGCCAGAATGTTGTCTCCATGCACGGCATGGCCCGACACCAACAGATCTCACCCAAGCGTCCTTATGCGGGGCTCGTCGCTCAGGGTCGTTCGCTTGGAGGAAAAAGGACGCTTGGGTGCGAGAAAGTGCCTGCGCATCTTCCCATCGACGATCCAGAGATCCACGATGACGAGCGTTTTCGAAGGATAGGAAATGATTTCGCCGATAAGGCCGCCAAGCTGGGAGCTGAGTCCCACCAGGCGCCGTCGGAGGATATAGCTAACGCATGCACTACTCTTGTGAATTCTAGACGCTTCGCGTATCCCCACCAGCCCGTCCAGAAATGAGCCCCAGGGGAGTGGAGGTGATGAGGGAAGCGGGGGAGCATGCAGAATAACAAGGAGCGGGTTGAGCCGCCATACGCCCCAAGAGGGGGAGGATGTAGGAGGAGTCGTCGTCGTCGGAGTAGGAGGAGGAAGACGAGGAGCAGGAGGGGGGGCAGGAGGAGGAGGGGGAGGAGGAGGAGGAGGAGGAGGAGGAAGATGAGGAGGAGGAGATGGAGGAGGGCGAGGACGAGGAGGACGAGAAGGAGGAGGAGGAGGAGGAGAAGGAGGAGGCGGAGGAGGGGGAGGGGGAGGAGGGAGGAGGGAGAAAAAGAGGAGGAGGAGGAGGACAATGGCGAGCTTGGGGGCCTCTTGGGCCGTCTTTGGGGCCTCTTGGCGGTCCCGGAGGCCTCTTGCGTATCTCGGGGAGCTTCTTGTGGCCTTTTGGGAGTCTCTTGGAGGCCTCTTGGAGGCCTCTTGGGGGCCTCTTGGGGCCTCTTGGGGCGCTCTTGGGGCGCTCTTGGGAGCCTTCGAGGCGCTCTTGGGGCCATCTTGGAGGAGATCTATCAAAGAAGGGGGGGTCCCCAATTAGCGCTGCCCCTCTAGAGTGCCTCGAGTCGCCTCTTGGGCTCCCCAAGAGGCCAAAATCCTTACAAAACCTATGGAAAATCAATGTTTTTTGCTTTCTCGCATTTTCGCTCTTGGAGCCTTCTTGGGCCATCTTGGGAGCCTCTTGGGGCCTCTTGGGGGTCTCTTGGGAGCCTTTTGGAGGCCTCTTGGGCGCCTCTTGGCGTCTCTTGGAGCCTCTTGGGGTTCTCTTGGGGCGCTCTTGGGGCGCTCTTGGGTGCCTTCGGGGTGCTCATGGCGCCATCTTGGAGGAGATCTATCAAAGAAGGGTGGAGCTTTAATTAGCCCCGCCCCTCTAGAGTGCCTCGAGTCGCCTCTTGGGCCCCCCCCCAAGAAGCCAAAACCCGTCCAAAACCTACAGAAAATCATTGTTTTTTGCTTTCTCGCCTTTTCGCTCTTGGAGCCGTCTTGGGCCATATTGGATTATCTTGGGGCCTCTTGGGAGTCTCTTGGGAGCCTCTTGGAGGCATCTTGGGCGCCTCTTGGGGCCCTCTTGGGGCGCTCTTGGGGCGCTCTTGGGGCGCTCTTGGGAGCCTTCGGGGCGCTCTTGGGGCCATGTTGGGAATATATATCAAAGAAGGGGGGAGCCTTAATTAGCCTCGCCCCTCTAGAGTGCCTCGGATCGCCTCTTGGGCCCCCCCAAGAGGCCAAAATCCTTCCAAAACCTAAGGAAAATCAATGTTTTGTGCTTTCTCGCCTTTTCGCTCTTGGAGCAGTCTTGGGCCATCTTGGGCGTCCCAACGCGTCGCGGAACGCCCCGTCCAGGTCAGTGGGGAGGGGTAAGGGGAGGGGTAAACCCCTCCCCGAAGGGAAAAAAGGGGGGTTGGCAGAGGAAACGCTCTAGACCACCTACGCCCTAAAGGGCTGGTGGGATTCGGCGCTCATGGCGGTCAGATTGTGTGCTGCTCTTCTGCCGCTTTGGCCGCGCACGGACCTCTCCCGTGCTTCGTGGTCTGCCCCCGCTCAGGCCCCCCGCTCCTCAACCTCGCCTCATCGGTGGGAGTGGCTCGGGCCTCCTGGAGGGGACCAACGTTTTTGGATTTGTCAAGGGTGCCTCAGGACGTCGCGCAACGCCGCCGACAAAGAGCCTGCCCCTGGACATTGTTCTGATTCTATGAGAGTGGATGTTCGGCGTCTTAGAGATTTAAACCACAAGTGTATCCTTCTGGATTGTTAGAACGGTTCGTTTGTTGTCGTTTGTACGCTGCGCCAGAGATACACTAGTGGAGCCCGCCTTGCATCACTCAGTAAGATTTGTCCAGGTCAGAAGGTTTCGGTTTACATCTCTGACGCCTGGAACAAGATCTGTAAGGGACTCCATCCCAAAGCGAAAGGGGTCACCTTACTTTCTGACACTTTCAGTGTGCTTTAAGCATGCAGCGAGAGCCACAGTGCTCAAAAAAAATCCTCCTCCTCCTCCTATCCCTCTTCCTTCTTTCTCCGCCGAGGAAGCCTGGATCCTGCGATTGTGGCGTTCGTGTTGTTGTTATTATTATTCTTTTTCTTATTATTACGCGTCTTATAATCATTTTTCGGATTCTTCCTTTTTGATTGTTCTTCTTCTTCGTATGATTATTCTTCTTATTATTCCTCCTCCTCCTCCTCCCCGTCCTCCTCCTCCTCCCCCTCCCTTTCCTCCCTCCGCTCCTCCTCTTCGGCGTCGGGCCTGGGCAGTCTCGCCGCCGTCGCTCCCGCCACGTCGGCTGCGCAGTCGGCGCCTGGGCCGTGGCCTGGTGTTCTTTCATCTTGGTTCGTATTATAGTTGTTTTGTTTCTTGGCCTCTGTGTTTTGGTTTCGTTTTCTCGTTGGTGTTGGTATCGTTTTCTAGCTTTCTCGGCCCATGGGTCGTGGTTTCGTTTTGTCGGGCAAGAGTTCGTTTTCTCGTGTTCTCGATTTGTCGGCCCCTGGGTCGGACCATGGTTTTTTGTATCGTTTTCGCGTTTTCTCTGCCCCACGGGCGCGGTCTCGTGTTCTTTGAGAATGGTTAGTTTTCTCGTGTTCTCGTTTTCTCGGCCCTTGGGTCGTGGTCTCGTTTTCTCTGACCTTGGTTTGTTTTCTTGGTTTCTCGTGTTTCCGGCCCCTGCGACGTGGTCAGGTCTTCTTTGACACTGTCTGGTCCGATGTCCGCCAGTCGTTCGGTGGACCTTTGCCGCGTCACGGGGTTCTTCTGGAGACGCCCGCCTCCTCCCTCCTGCTGCTGCTTCTGCTCGCCGCTCCATTCTTCTCATCCTCTCTCCTGCTTTTGCTCCCGCTCGTGGTCTTCCTGCCTCCATCCTCTGGCCCCCTGAAGCCCCTCGCACCTCTTAGAAACGGACAGAACTCTCCGGAACCCTTGAGCCCCGCCCTTGACTTCCCAAACACGACCTTTCGCCCCTCCTTCCTCCATACTTTGCGCTACCTCCGCCCCCTCTCTCCGCCAACAGTACGATGAGATCACAAGTCGCACATCATCGCGCAACAGGTTGTTCAGGTTCGTCACATGCACGGCATGCAGCTGCCACTACATGCTTCTTCTGACGCCGAGAGCACTTACGCAGCCCGCCACTCCATTATAGCACCCCACGATTTGACGGTTTTCTTACAACAGGCGTCAGCAGATCAACGGCTAGGTGTTCGATTTTATGTGTTGTTTTACCGATCGGCGCGGGCCCTCGACCCCCCCTCCCCCACCCCATGGAGTAGATCTTGTCTTTTTCCGCGTCTGTTTCGAGCAGATGGGGTCTCCCCCACAGGATGCACTGCTTTAAACAGTGGCATTCAGCAGAGGCCTGGAGCCAGAGCCCCCCCTCCCCCTCCTTTCGCCCAATGTCGAAACGCCAAATCAGAAAACGTTCACCAGTAAGGATGCCCCTGGATCATCTCAGCGATGCGATATCGGCGCTTGCCCGACGCATCGGCCGCAGTCCCCACAACGTTCACACTATTTGTAATGGCTGGCGTGCCTTGGTCGCTGTTCTTACGTTCTCGTTGCTCTTACACCCTTCGAGTCTAGTCAGCACTGACCTCCACATACGTGGCATTGCGTATTCAGCAGCCCGTTTTAGATTGGCGCGCAGGCACTGAGGGCATCATTTGTAAATTTATCGACCTTGCCTGTCTTCAGTGCGCCTTTTAATACGATTGCAATCCAGGCTTCCGTGAGACTGCTTTTGCCAACCGAGCTCATCCCCGTTCCCTCCATCCCCGTCCCCTCCCTCCCTCCCTCCTCCTCCTCTTGCTCCCTCCCTCCCGTCCCTTCCTGCCTCCCTCCCTCCCTCCCTCCCTCCCCCCCCCCCCCTTCTCCCTCGATGCGCCCAGCTCCCGCACCCACCGAGGCGACTCGAGCAGCTGGCGGGGCGCTCGCCCGTCCAAGGAGGCGTCTGGCGCCCCGGATCAGGAGGTGGGCTCTGGAGCTGGGACGGCCAGGGTGGGGTGGGGGGCAGGAGGGATGGCTCCTCTTCTCCCCGCGGGGGGAGGGAGGGAGCGAGGGAAGAGGGAGCCAACACGAGAGAGGAGGGAGTTCGAGAGGGGGAGGGAACGAGGCGAGGTTCAATGCCATGTCGGGCAACTGTGACCTCCACGCGACAGGGCTCCCTCTGCGAGGCAGCCCGCCTCAGGCCGACGCCTCATCGACTCTCTGCAGCTCGCGCCATGGCGCCTGGTGGCCGGTCCCTGATCAAAGACCCTTCCTTCTTGTGTGCGCAGAGACTGCGCTGGGCGCTGGTGGAAGTGGTGCAAGCATTTCATCGGCCTGCTTGAGCCGCAGGAACACCCTCCGCCCTCGCTCTGTTGACTCTCTTGCGCCACCTCGGCGCGTCCCCCGGGTGCAGCAGCGAGGACATGCACGGGGAGTCAGCGAAGACGGCAGTGTGGGCAGAAGACGGTCAGCTGCCCTGGTCTCCTTCCATTGATGATTGAGGATCGGCCATCGCCTGGCTATGAACATGCTGGTCCCGATAAGGAGCAGCGGTTGTCGACTTTGCTGGCGTTGCCCAAGGCCATCGGGGACAAACGGGGCCTTGCCGACAGCGACGTGTCTGCGAAAGTTGTTCAGAGTCGAAGGGAGGGCTTGCCCCGGAATGCCATCGGCAAGTGTCGGGGACTGGACATCCACGACCGTCGACGTAGACGAAGCCATTGCTGGAACTCCGAAGCTGAACTTGGTCGAGCTGTTTGACGGCTCCGAGCTCGTCTCGGGCGTCGGCGGCGTCTTCGGCCTGGTGGCCCCCTCGGCGATGTGGCCATTGCCGAGGGCAAAAGGCACCCAGCGTAAGAAAAACGCGCCACAAGCTTCTCACAAAGGCGGAGTTTGGCATCAAAGGAGAAACTTACGACGACGTCACCGCCGCGGAGGAACATGAGCCCCCAGCCCCCCCATCCCAGAATATCGAATTCAGCTAACAGTCCAAAGGCCCCTGCTGCCACAGGGTAAGAATCCCAACCCCAGAAACGAGGTCCGGGGAACTCTGAGCACCCGCCAACCTTGGAAACCCTGTTCCCCCAGCCCTGGAAACGTTGTTTTCAACCCTTGAGACGTTGTTACCAACACTGGAAACGGAAAGGTCAAGCATTGGAAACGGAACGACCGAAGACTGGAAACGGACATGGAAATGTGTGCGGGGGTAGCTCCATGGGAAGCGTGCTGGGGGGCAGACGAGGAGGAGGATGATGGGAGGAGCAGTGGGAGGAGGAGCAGGAGGAGCAGGAGCAGGAAGAGCAGGAGCAGAGCGGCGGAGGAGGAGCTTGTAGCAGTTACTAAATAACGTTCTCTCCGTTTTCGCCTTGCTTGTCTGTCAATCTTGTTTGCCTGTCTCCCTTTTGCCTGCCTGCCTGTTTGCCTGTGTCGGGTGCTTCAGCGTCTATATATACACACATATATATATATATATATATATATATATATATATATATATGTGTGCGTGTGTGCGCGTGCGTCGCATGGTCGTTTCCTGCGCGGCCGCCAGGGCCCGGCGGGCCAGGTTTTCCGACCGCTCCCCCCTAAGTCGCTGATTTCGGCGGTTTTGCGTGGCAGGGGGCGCGTGTGGGAAATCCTCAAGTTAGGATCTCTCCCTATTGTAATTTTTCCATATCATTTTTCATGTTCTTCAGTTTGGTTTGTTCTCTCTCTCTCTCTCTCTTTCTCTCTCCTCCCTCTCTCCGTTTTTGCTTTGCCTGCCTGTCAGTCCAGTTTGCCTGTCTCCTTTATGCCTGCTTGCATGTCTGTCCGTGTCGGTTGCGTCAGCGTTTTTCTGTTGTGTGTGTGTGTGTGCGTGTGCGTGTGTGCGTGTGTGCGTGTGCGTGTGCGTGTGCGTGTGCATGTGCGTGTGCGTGTGTGTGTATGTATGTGTGTGTATGTGTGTGTGCGTGTGCGTATGCGTGTGCGTGTGTGTGTGTGTGTGTGTGTGTGTGTGTGTGCGTGTGTGTGTGTGTGCGTGTGTGTGTTTATGTCCGCGTCCGCGTCCCATGGTAGTTTTTTACGTGGCCGCCACGCCCCCGCGGGCCAACTTTTCCTACCGCTCCCTACTAGTTTGCTGATTTCGTCGGGTTTTTGGCGCGGGGGGCGGCGGATGCGCCGACGGCGACGTTTCCTCAATTGTTCTGGCCTCCTTCGCGCGTGACCTGGCGCCGCATCCTTCGAACGCGGCAGAGCGTCGTGAGATCGAGCATCTGGTTGGCGCCCGAGGTCGGCGCTACCTGCAGGAGGGAGGAGAGCGACTGCGCCTGACTGCTGATGGCAAGTTTCCTGAGGCGCAGTTGCAAGAGATGCCGCGTCATGCGGGCCCCGCGCTGACGCGGAACCGTCGCAGATCTGTCCGTTTTGGCCAGTATCTGTCCACAGTTGGATTTGGCCTGCTCACGTATTCGAATACAGGGATATTATGGGAATCAGGAGGGCAGCCGCCAGCGCGCGCGAGATGGTCGCCGGCGCCCCAAAGCCTGCAAGCCGCAGGCCCCCTGAGTGCTTCTGACGCCGAGGGGCTTGCACACGGAGTCTTTCCAGGCCCCGAGAGCTCAGGCGCCCCCCCCCCCTCTATGGGGCCCGCTCATGTTTCTTATCCGAACGGGTCATCAAAACCTTGTGACCGTCGTCACTTTTGGTCCCCTAAGGCTTGGACATGGGCGAAGTGTCAGGCGGGGGCATCGTCAGCGAATGAATTGCGAGGAAGTCCATTGCTCATGTGTTTAATCCGACCAGGTCATCGGACTCTCGTAGTTGTTGTCGCTTCTGGGCCCTGAGGCCTGAATGCGGAGGAAGTGTTAGG